GAGCCTTCTGTGTCTCCCTCTCTCTCTGCCCCTCCTCCACTCGTGCTCTGTTTCTGTCTCTCAAAAATGAATAAATGCTAAATAAATAAATAAATAAATAAATAAATAAATAAATAAAACAACTCTGCAATATTTAAGACCTATTAAAGATACAAAGAGGGGCTCCTGGGTGGCTCAGTCGGTTAAGTGTCCAACTTCGGCTCAGGTCATGATCTCGCAGTTTTGTGAGTTTGAGCCCCACACCAAGCTCTGTGCTGACAGCTCAGAGCCTGGAGCCTGCTTCCGATTCTGTGTCTCCCTTTCTCTGACCCTTCCCTGCTCACTGTCTGTCTGTCTGTCTTTCAAAAATAAACAAACACTAAAAAAAATTAAAAGATACAAAGAATGACCCTTCCCTGCTCACTGTCTGTCTGTCTGTCTTTCAAAAATAAATAAACACTAAAAAAAATTAAAAGATACAAAGAATGATTCAGCCTGAGGACCCATCGTTAGCAAGCAAACCTTGCTGACATAGGTAAAAGCACCTTATGTAGCTCTCTGAGATCACTTCCCCATCCTTGTACCAAGGGAAACACTATCCAATATCTGAGGTTTCTTTCCTTCATGTCACTAGAGCAATTTGCTGATACCTCTACTTACTTGGGTCTTTTCCACTTGATGGTAAGCTTCTGGAGGGCAGGCACTGTGTTAATGACCTATCTACCCCTAATATCTATCACATGATGCCCCAGACCAGTGGTTCTCTACCTTGGCTGCAGGTCAGAAATGCCTGGGGAACAAACGATCTTTAAAATCCAGTGGCCAGGGTTCAGAGTTCTGAATTGTTTGGTGGGGGGTGGGGCTTGGGCTTTGCTGTGGTTAGAGGCTGTCCCAGGTGACTGTGATTTGCAGCCCTGGTAGAAATCCACTAATCCAAACTGTGTCAGTCAGGTTCCTTTGCTAAAATAGACTGTCTTAGCACCCATGTTTTTTCGTCAGTATCTTTCTCAAGTGTAATTTCAAATTTAAATAAGTGTTACTTATTTAACACAAACTCATGAGGGCTGACTGTCTTGTTCCTTGGCATCCTAGTGCCTGGCATAAAGTAGGCTCCACTGAGCAGCATCTATTATATTGTTCATTCACAAAGTGTATGTCTGACAGGGGACAGCTTGACCATATTATAAGATTGTTGTTTTCACTACTAGGGCAAGGCAGGTATCACAACCTGTTACAGGAAAGCCCAAACTCCATGGTAGAGGATGGATTAATTTATTTGTGCTTCCTGACAGTGGCCTTAGGAAGAAGTGGGGTTAGGGTTTGTCATCTGTCTTGTAAAATAGCAACTACTTCACCTTATGGTAAGAAGGTTCTTGGGGTGCCTGGGTGGCTCAGTTGGTTAAGCATCCGACTTTGGCTCAGGGCATGATCTCACGGTTCATGGTTTTGAGCCCCACATTAGGCTCTGTGCTGACAACTCAGAGCCTGGAGCCTGATTCAGATTCTGTGTCTCCCTCTTTCTCTTTGCCCCTCCCCTGCTGTTTGTTTGTTTGTTTTTTTCTCTGAAAAATAAATAAACATTTAAAAAAAGAGAAGAAGGTTCTTGTAAGGGATGGGTGAACAAGCAAACAAAATGGGTGTGTTTGGGGTTTTTTTAGTTTGGGGCAAAATCTTTAAGGGTCTCGTCTCAAAATTGGTATCTGACTTTTGATTATAATCATTTCTGGGAATGGCTAGGAGTTGCAGCTTTAAAAGCTTCTGTTTGGGGTACCTGGGTGGCTCAGTCGGTTGAGCGTCCGACTTCGGCTCAGGTCATGATCTCGCAGTCTGAGTTCAAGCCCCACGTCGGGCTCTGTGCTGACAGCTCAGAGCCTGGAGCTTGCTTCAGATTCTGTGTCTCCCTCTCTCTCTGCCCCTTCCCTGCTCATGCTCTGTCTCTGTCTCAAAAATAAATAAAAACTTAAAAATAAATAAATAAATAAATAAAAGCTTCTGTTTAAGTGATTCATTCAAGTGTATGTGGTTTCCCTAGAGAATGCTTCCCAATTTTTTTTCTTACTGAGGCACATTTGTAAATTTACATTTTAGTCTTGAAATTTTACTTGGAATACAATTTCCATTCAGCGGTGGAAAATAGATATAGAATTGAAAATCCAGATCTAGAAAGGTTAGCTAGATCAGTGCTTCTCAAACTTTAGCATGCACTAAGAATCATCTGGAGATTAATTAAAACACAGATTACTGACCTCTACCCAGAGATTCTGGGTGTAGAGTGGGACCTAACAGTTTGCATTTCTAGCAAGCTCTCAGGTGGTGCTAGAGTTCTAAAAACCATACTTGAATAATAGTGAGCTTAGGTAGCCCTTCGAAAGGGGAAGAAAAAAATCAGAAGACTAGGAAGCCACAATGGTAACTTGAATAACAATGGTGACTTAAACTGTAGTTTGACTCTTGGTGATCTGGAGGGAAGGCTGTGACTTGAAAAAGGTGGAGAGAAAAGAGACTTGGGAGAAATAGTCTGCCCACAGTTGTGGGCTCAGTGCAGTCTATTCCTGGGGTAGGGCAGCCCTTGCACTGCCAACACCACCCTGGGAGTTCTCCGCTCTGTGGCACTCGTCACTGAAGCCCTTCTAGAAGTTGGCCACCAAATCCCAGTCTACCTCAGAAATGGCTTTTGGATCTGGTTTCCCCCGTCCTACCCATTGCCTTTTTTTTTTTTTTTTTAAGTCCCCTGTTACTTCTCACCTAGTGTCTTCCCCCCAGACTCCCAGCTGTTCTACTTCTTTTCCTTCCAAGTCTGTCCTCATTGTAATCATCTTAAAAAGTCAAATCTGGCAAGTTAACATTACTGCTTTAAAAGCCTCTGGCTACCTGTTGCCTGTAGGTTTAAGGCCAAGTGTGACATTCAAGTTCTTTTGTGATCTGGAGGATGAGAATATTAAAAAAAAAAAAAAAAGTGTGTAAGTTTCCTGTCCCTGGAGTAAAAGCTAGCACACTGTTTGCTGTGGGCATTCTATAGAAGGCAGACAGGCATTAGACAAGGGTTAGACTTTGATGACTTCTGAGGCAGCCTGTGATTCTGAATATGACATGGTTGCTACCCTCAAGGATCCTTCTCTGTTTCATTAGTAAAACAGGTAGAAGAATGTATACCTGAATGTCATAATGGATACTGCCAAGTTTGGTTAAGTCAGTGGTCATTTATGTCTACATAGTTGAGGGAAGACATCATGGCAGAAGTTTAGAATGACCTAGATATGGAGATACTTGGGTGGTTAAAAAAGAAAAGTATAGCCTGAGCAGAGGCCAGGTGGGGGTGGGGTATAGTATAGATGATATTAGGGGGTTGGTCAGGATCCAGCTTCCAGGGGGTGGACAGTAACAGGAAGGAAAGCTAGATTAAAGGGATTAGGACCCTGGTGGGCCAAGTAAGCCATTTGGATTTGATCTTACAGGCCTGCAGACTAGATATGGAATTAGACCAGTAACGTGATAAAACTAATGTTATAAAAAGTAATCCATTCGTGTATAGTGTGGTTTGAAAAGGGGAGAGTCTGGAAGCAAGGGCAGCAGTTAAACTGTTGAAAAAATTCTGGTGAGAGGTGTGGAGTTGTACCCCTTTGTCTCATTTGCATAGCCAAGTAGTCCCATTTATGAGGTATGCAGGAAAAAATGTATAGATCTGAGAGAGAAAGTGGCTTCTACTGGGTAGAAAATTTAATGATCTTGAAGGGTGTGCGGAGAAAGATCTCGTTGACGGAAAAGTTAAAAGGAAAACTCATTTTGGGGGAGAAGTTAAGTTCCATATAGTGAAACTTAAAAAAAAAATACTTATGGGTGCCTGTCTGACTCAGTTGATAGAGTATCCTACTCTTTTTTTTTTTTCTTTTTTAAGTTATTTATTTTGAGAGAGACAGTGTGAGTTGGGGGAGGGGCAGAGAGAGAGAGAGAGAGGGAGACAGAGAATCCCAAGCAGGCTCCGCACTGTCAGTGCAGACCCTGGCATGGGGCTCGAACCCATGAAACTATGAGATCATGACCTGAGCTGAAACCCAAGAGTCGGACACTTAGCCAACTGAGCCACCCAGGCACCCAGAGCATCCTACTCTTGATCTCAGGATGGTGAATTCAAGCTCCACGTTGGGTGTGGAGCCTACTTAAAAAACAAGACAAAAACATATGCTGAGTTGCTAGCTGGAGAGAGGAGACTGCAACTTGGGAAAGAGCTGAGACTAGATAGAATTGGAGAGCTGTGTGTATAGTGATTAACAGTTAAACTGTGGCCTGAAGGAGGCCTCCCAGCCCATGGCTTATGGGGAGAAGAGTCAGATGGAGCCCTGGACAATGCCTGCAGTCATCTGGTAGAAGCGCCCAGCAGATAGCTGGTGAGCTCTGAGTAGGACCAGGATTGTGTCATATTTATGGAAGCCAAAGGCAAGGGGGAATGGTCCACATCGAATTTATATTTCAAGGAATATAAAGTGGGATCTGTCATGAAGCAGGTTATTGGGATCCTTTTTAGGTGTGGAGAGGACCTGGTTTCTGAGGGCTGGAGGAAAAGGAAATTCAGGGAAAGGTATAAAGGTAAAGAACACTCTTGAAAGGTGTTGGGGGGTGGGGGCGGTGACAGCTGAATCAGCCCAAATTCCTCCACTTCATGTGAAGACCCGCATGTGTATACTGTAGATAGGAAGAAGGTTGAAGATGCTGGCAGAATATTAGGAGGGTGTAAACAGACTTATCTCTCAAGAGTTGTGAAAAAAAAGGCATCAAGGGCACTCACTGGGTTAGCTCACAAAGGACACTGTACCCTTGACTGGAGAAGTCTTAGAGGCCAGTGTTGAAGAGCTGGATCATACTTGTTTCTTCTCATTAGGTAGGAATGGAGGTTATGGATGCTGGGAATGAGGTGGAGAATAGGATTAGGATTTTTAATGTCTGTTAAGTTATGTACAGATTTTTTTTTTTAATCACCTGGGTTTTCAAGCCCTTTTTAAGACTTTACTTAATAACACTATAGCTATTAGCACTCATGTTTTACTACTGTCAGACTGCTCGGAGCTTGGGTTACAGTGATCTAGAAAGAAGAAATGGGAGGGAACTACGTTGTTTCTGTAGCATCCAGATCTTAAGACGGTAGGAGTGAGGCCAGGAAAGGAGCTATAGGCAATACCAATCCTCCTAGAAGAGCAGGAATTGAAATGTAATGAGTAACCACTCCTTTTTTATGTTAGAAGAAACTAAGGGTCAGAACTAGGATTTGAATCCAGCTCTCTCTGATATTTCAGATGAAATATTTCCTCTAGCATCCCACACAGCAGAAGAAAGGCTTGGAGAATCTGAATTTCTCTCTTCAAGTTTAACCAGAAGCCTCAACCCCTTTGTCGTTTAACATTTACCAGGCTTGTCCTGAAAGAATTGCCATTTCACTTCTGTTTTTCCAGACCTCCTTGTCATGGAGCACCGATGAGTTGTGAAAAGGGCAGCTGGGGGGGGGAGGGAGGGGTGGGAGAGGGAACATGCCCAAATTGATAGGGCGCAGGGTTGCTGGAGGAAGTAACCAACTAGGGAATTGCCTCAAACAGTGGGAAGTTGACTCAAATTTGGTTCTTTTGTTCCCCTTGACTTAGATGGGAGCAAACCCTGTTTGTGCCTTTCTTCTTAGAGAACAGTGTCCTGATTAATGGTGATGTTAATCAGAGCCTTGCTACTGAAAAAATGTGGTCCTGTATCTAGCAACACAGGCATCACCCGGGAAATTGCTTAGAAATGCAGGTTCTTGGGTCCCACCCAGCTTTATTGAATCCAACACTGTTAACAAGATCCCCAGGTGATTCATTTATCTAATGGTTTAGAAACAAGGAGTTAGGGGGACTCCTGAGTAACTCAGTCGGTTGAACGTCTGGTTGACTCTGGATTTTGGCTCAGGTCATGATCTCATGGTTCCTGAGATTGAGCCCTGAGTCTGGCTCTATGCTGACAGTGCAGAGCCTTCTTGGGATAATCTGTCTCTCCTGCCTCTCTCTGCCTCTTTCTTTCTCTCTCTCTAAATAAATAAATAAACATTAAAAGAAAAGAAGCAGCAGCAGCAGCAAGGAGTTAGACCCTGAGAACTGAGAGTAAAATTTTCAAATGAAATGTCAAGCTTGGGGACTTTGGAATACATGAATTTTACTGACTGTGTCCAGTAAACTGTAAATAATCTCTGAGTGTGTGGGGTGGGAATGGAAGACCACCACCCGTTGTTTTGTGGTGCTTTGGGGGCCCTGGCTCTCCATGCCTACAGGCCAGACCCCATTCATTGTGGGACCAGCCACAGCTCCCAGCATACCTGTGTAGCCTCGTCCCCAGCCACTCAGGTGTGCCTCAAACTCCTCACAACTCCCAGTCCTTCCTGCCAGTGTCTTCTTGCTTCCGATGACTGCCCAGTCACCTTCCCTTCTCTCTCTTTAATGCCTGGCAAACTCCTACTTTGGCTTCAAAACCTAGCTGCAATACGTTCTCTGGGACTTTTCCCGATTTCTTCATGGTGGCCTGGGACCTCTGCTCAGGGACCAGGTCTGCGTGTAGCACCTGTGCGAGGCAGCTCCTCGGTACACCTGTGCTGAGCAGCCCTGGGCTCCTGCTGCCCACGTGAGCTCGGGGGCCAGCGTTTTGTCATCTGTGTTTACTGGGGGGAGTGACAGAAATCCTCTGAAGGCTTAAAAAAATTGGAATGCTTGAAGGATTAAAATTTTACACTGTGTTGCCTTTTGTCACATTTCATGGTGAAAGGAAACAGGCCAACAGTTTTTGCCTAGGCTTTTGATGGCTTATTTTCAAGGGGCTGACAAAAATGCCACTAGCACTTTCGGTACTCAGAGAAGCTGGGCTTTTCTGAGGTTGGTGACCTGTTTTCTTTATATCTGACTGTGTGTGCTTGCTCCCCTTGAATTGTAGCCCAGGTGCTCTCAAAAAGTCTCAGAAAGGAAATCCCCACCCCCTCCGTCATATCTGCCCAGACTGCTCAGAGCAGCGTGTACCATGTGCAAGTAGCCGCCCCTTCTCTAGAACGCCTGTTCTCTGGCAGGGCTAGCCAATCTGCTTCTCCATCCCAGTCACGCTGCTCCGGCCCTGATACTGCCTGGTGCCTGCCGGAGCCTGTGCTGCTTGCAGCACATTACTGTATGCTTGTTCCTGGGCCCATTTCCTGTTTCTATTCTAGTCGCTGGTGGCTCAGCTCTGCTTCCTGCCTGTGTGTCTCACACAGATTCCTCTTGCTAGTACCTTTTGTTTTCTTCGGAACAACTTCAGTCTGAAAACTAACTGAGCCTTACTTCTAGTGTGATGGCTCCTGGGGTCAGTACCCTATGGAGGACTGGCAGGAAGTACCTCCTTCCCACCAAGCATACTATACCTGTTGGATTTGACCTTGTTCTTCAGTTGGTCCCCAGTCTTGCTACAGGAAGCTGGTGGCTCATTGCTTAGACCAGAAATTGCTATAAGAAGATGAGCTGGGATCTTTTGCAGCCAAACTTGTCTTCACTCCTCAGCTGCACAGGGTTGTCAGGACTGGTTCTTTTTTTTACCTGGCACTTAAAAGCATTTCCTGCTGCTGCCAAAGACACTTTGTAGCCCTTTCTAGCCCAAACCTCCCCCCTCTAAAATCCAGAGAATACTTATATGGGGTTGGGCAGGTAATGCTATCCTCAGCAGAGTAATAGCTTGCAGAGAGTATAGAGATGGAAAGAAAGCATGTGCTGACTCAACCTTCTGTCCTGTGTAAGCAGTTCAACACCCCCACCCCCACCCCAGGGTTAGAGTGGGAGGGAGAAAGTGCAGGGAGGTTGTTAAAAAAAATTAAAGAAATGAAGAAGTGAAGGAGATTGTTCTGGACAAATGTATTTTAATGCTCTAATGCTCCTCCATCTTGCCCATTTTCCCCAGAAGATGCTGGCTTAGCAGAGAGTAGGCCTTGTGAATAATTCTATTCTCCTCTCTCCTTCATAACAACTCTTTTGGGATCATCTGGTAATCCTGTGTCAGATCAAGTGGTTTCTACACTGAACCCTAGGCCTAGGTATATTTAATAGAGAGGAATTTAATGCAGGGAATTGGGCTTACAAACTTGCTAGGAAGGTTGAGGAAGCATGCTCTAGGCTTGTCCTCCAGAAGGAAATTCCTACCTTTGAGCCACTATCAGATTAAATGCCCTAAGTCTGCTATCCAGGGATCAGTGAGCTGGAGTCAAGAAGGAGCTGCTGCTGCCGCCAGAGCCAGCATCCAGTTTACTGGAAGAGGAAGCCAAAATGCTGCTGCAGAAACAAGTGAAGGAGACGGAAATATGGTCTCTGCCATACTTTGATCTAACCTCGAGTTTGCTCCTAATTAGGAGAACCTGAACTATATCTAAACCCATCCACAAGGGATCCTGGGAAATTCGGTTTTTAGCTTTTTAACCTCTATAATTAGGAAAAGAGTAGAATGGAGACAGCATGAGCTAGGCCACAGAATATTCACCACACTAACACAAACACTACCCCTCCCCCTTACCCCCACTTTACATATGAGGAACCTAAGGCCCAGAAAGGGTAAAGGACTTGCCCAAGGTCATTCAGTAAATGAGAACATTGGGTTCCTGACTCCCATTCCAGTGTTTTTACTATTAGGACCTGTTTTTACTATTAGGAGTTTTTACTAAACTCCTCTAAAGGATCAGTTTAAAAAAAAAAAACAAAAACCTCCTTTAAGAGAAGGAAGAATACCATAGTCTCTTCTTTGGAGAAAAGGAAGGAAGAGGTATGTAGAGATGCGGGGTTGAGATTTCTAGGCAAAGGTAGTGATACTATACAGCTTCTGGATTTAGGTCTACTCTCCAGGAAGATGTAGGAAATATTCTGATAGGAAGAAACCTCAAAAACTAGAATTTCCTGCAATTCCTGAGTCAACATATGGATGAACTCAGTTGCCTTGGTGACCATGGCTCTCTTTCACCCCCACCCCACTTCCCTTTCTCTCCCATTGGTACATTTATAACGTTCTGCAAGCTGTTTGGACGATTACCTCAGTGAAGTACATGCCCTGGCTTCTGCCATTGTCCTTCTCCAAGAAGACCAACAAAATCAGAAATCCAGCCCCCAGATGTGTGATTGCCAAGCTGTTTCTCATCTGTCCTTGGGGCAAGGGGGGTGTTGGGCTTTTTGGACAAGAAATAAACCAAGTTGGGGGTGCCTGGGTGGCTCAGTCGGTTGGGCATCCGACTTCAGCTCAGGTCATGCTCTCACAGCTCGTGAGTTTGAGCCCCACACCGGGCTCTTTGCTGACAGCTCAGCCTGGAACCTGCTTCAGATTCTATGGTCTCTGCCTCTCACTGCCCCTCCCCAACTTGTTCATGTTCTCTCTGTCTCTCTCTCTCTCTGTCTCTCTCTCTCTCTCAAAAATAAACATTAAAAAAAAAAAAAAAGAGGGGCATCTCGGTTAAGCATCCGACTTTGGCTCAGGTCATGATCTTATGGTTCGTGAGTTCGAGCCCCGTGTCGGGCTCTGTGCTGACAGCTCGGAGCCTGGAGCCTGCTTTGGATTCTGTGTCTCCCTCTCTCTGTCCCTCCCCTGCTCACACTCTGTCTCTCTCCCTCTCAAAAATAAATAAACATTAAAAAAAATAATAATAAAAATAAATAAATAAATAAAAAAGAAATAAACCAAGTCTTCCTAGAAATGCTATAATTTAGAACCATGAGGGCCTCCCCCTCCAACCGGACACCAGAGTGAAAATCTGTTCTGGCAAACTTGGTCCAGAGGGGAGGACCCCTGGGTATGGAGCTGTGTTAACATACCTGATAAATCAAGCATAGAATTAGTTCTGTTGTCTTTTTCTTCATATTTCTAAGATATTTGGTGTTCAACCTTTGGGGACCGGTGCTTACTCTCTTGCTCCATCCACTTCCACAGCCTGAACCTGTTCTTTCTTCCCCACCTGCTGTCAGCATGGAATTGGCTGGTATTGTGACATAGTCTCTGATTTCCGTGAGGTGTAGCTCACCTCCAAGCTGCTAGCTTGCTTCCCCATTTGACCTTTCCCAAGGAAACTAAGAAGCCATGTCTTGTTGAAAGTGGAAACTAAGAGTGGAAGGCTCAAGCTGAGAGTCAGAGAACCTGTCCCTTAAGACCAGCTTTCATGTGGAAGGAATATTGAATATTATTTACTGAGATAAGTGAAGGTAATTTCCTGACATTCTGGGGAAGGTAGGTGAAGAATTAAGTTCCAAATAAATGGGATCAGTGTCAGAAGAACTGTTATTAGGACTATTTGGTTGTGGGGCTCCTGGGTGGCTCAGTCGGTTAAGTGTCCGACTTCAGCTCAGGTCATGGTCTCCCAGTTTGTGAGTTTGAGCCCCAATTCGGGCTGTCACGGAGCCTGCTTCAGTTCCTCTGCCCCTCCCCTGCACGCATGTGTGCTCACGCACTCTCTCAAAAATAAAAATAAATATTTAAATTTAAAAAAAGAATATTTGGTTGTTTTCCCGCCTCATCTTCTACTTTCAGAATTTGACTGTGTCTCTCCCCATGTTCAGAGTTCTGGTTTTCAGGCCTTTGGGATAGATGGCTGGCTGTCTTTTCTGGGTAAAGATGCTGTCCATTTTCCTACTCTCAGATCTGTTTGTTCCCTATCGTCCCCCAAATCTTTAGATTTTATCTAGTAGGCCATGGTAGAGAAGACCACTGGCAAATATAAATTTAGGGGGTTTTAATACCAAACCGAGGAGGCCTTGGAGCTCCCTAGACCTTGGTCTAAGCTGTGTGCAGCACAGTGCCAGTCTTGCCTTCCCTAGTTATGCACTTTGTATCCTTGCTTGCTTTCTGCTTGAGGTGGAAGCCTGAGGCCACACCCCTTCTCCCTTACACTTTTTTTTTTAATTTGAGAGACAGACAGACAGACAGACTCTTAAGCGGACTCCACACAGCCTCCGCCCTTGGGATTATGACCTGAGCTGAAATCAAGTCAACTCGCTCAAACCGACTGAGCCACCCAGGCACCCCTCCCTTAACACTTCTCCTTTCTAGAACTCTGCCTTCTTTTCTGTGCTTCTTTGCTCTTCCCTCCCCTACCCGCTCCTTGCTCAAGTTCTAGGATTTCAGCTGATGATCATGGTAGAACAAGGTCTATGTGGTTGGCTTTCCTGACAGGAAATGCTTAACTTGGGGGAAAGTAGGGAGTTCCTAACTTCTTTGCTTTCTCAAACTTTACAGCACTTGTTTCCTGCTGGGATTAGAACAGCCCTATTCCATAAATATGCACTGTTCTTGACTGCTCTAACTCAGGCCCAGCTCTGACCCAGTTTCATTTTTTTTTTTCAGATTTGAGTCCGTTAGCTAGTGACCCTTAAAACCCTGTACATTTTTGGCCAAGAGGTGATTTCTGACTAGATAAGACATTCTCTCCTGGCCCAAGTGAGAAAGAAGCCTTTTCAGGGGAGGGGTATGTGTCCAAAGGCTGGTCAGGTAGGTAACATGGTATTATACAGGCCTGGTGGGGACTGTGACACATTGGAAAACAAGTTAGCTCGCTACCCTATGGGAGTTCTAGGATCTGTTTTTTTCACAAGTTGGGAAACTGGAGTTTTGTGGGTTTTTTTTTTTTTTTAAGTTTATTTGTTTATTTTGAAAGAGAGAGTGTGTGCATGGGAGGGGCAGAGAGAGAGAGAGAGTGGGAGAGAGAATCCCAAGCAGACTCCTCACTGTTAGCGCAGAGCCTGACATGGGGCTCGATCTCAGGACCGTGAGATAATGACCTGAGCCAAAATCAAAAGTTGGACACTTAACTGACTGAACCACCCAGGTGCCCCGGGTTTTTAGTATAAAATCTTGGGATTATTAGAAGAGTCTATATGGGAGTGTCAGGCAGTGGGTTAAAAGGTTCTCTGGCACCTGTGGGTCTGTCCCTGCAGCTTCTTGTGGACTACCCATGTAGTTTTGGCTCCCTTGGAGCTGGTATTTAGAATTTTTGTGGGGGTGGGGGCCAGCTGTGGGGAATGCCATCTACCCATTGCCGGCTCTCCTTGTGTTTGGTGTTTGTTTTATTGGTTTGGGGAGGGGGAAGTGCAGGGGAGATGTTGAGCAGAAGCACTCAATGTGATTAAACCTCTAGCCGAGCAGATCTGTGGGAGCAGAATATCGACCCCTGGAAAATCAATGGCTGCTGCAGTGGCCCGGGCTGCTGTTTGCAGGGGCTCCCGCCGCAGGAGTGCAGGCAGCCCCACAGTCTCTCTTCCCCCCTTTTTCGCCTCAGAAACGCCCTCGGCCCCCACCCAAAGGGTCAGAACTACCTCAAGAGATTTTGCTGAGGTGGATTAGAACGGCAGGTTCTTGTATTTTTGTAATTAGATTGAAATTTCTCCAGTGACACAGAGCCCCGCCTCCCGGCAGCCTCCTTTCCAGGCGTTCCTTCTCTGCACTGCAGTTCTATCAAGAGCTCTTACCCA